AAAAAAAAAAAAAAAAAAATCAACATAAGAACGCATATGAAAAATGTCACCAATTGTGGTGGCACATGCCTGTAATCCCAGTTTTCTGGTAGGCTAAGGGAGGAGAATTTCAATGTTGAGCCCAGCCTGGGCAACTCAGTGAGATCTTGTCTTGAAATAAAAAACTTAAAAAAGAAAAAAGAATGAAAAAGGGTTGCTGATATAGCTTAGTGCAAGGGTCCTGGATCTATTCCCCCGTACCAAAAAACAAAAGTCATCTAAATCTATGTATGCATACACACATGTGTATAAAACGGCAGCTAACATTTACTGAACGCTTCTACTAGCTTCAAATGGATTATATCCCTTAATTTTTAAAATAATCGTATGAGGTAGGTCTTATGATTATTATTTCTATTTCAGAGATAAGGAAATTGAAGTAAGAGAGGTCCAAAAATCATACAGTTATAGAGTGATATAATTACTCAGTTCTGGCAAGAAAGTATTTGTTCTTCCATGGAAAATGGCATATTGAGAGCAAATTTTACCAGAACATTGGATTGTGAATCTCTGGGAGTGGTTTTACACTGTGTAAATTGTGGATAGCTGATGGCAAAGCGCAATCACTCTGCTCTGTAGACATGTGACTGACTCTGCTGCGGACAGACAGCCTCCCCGAGACGGCGAACTTGGGTGTGTGTCTGTCTGCACACTCATTTCAACACTCCTGGATGCCGTGTAAATTTATGGTTCTTTGGCTTTTCCTTTGAACAGATGATGACATCTTCCTAGTTTCTTTGTTGAATTCAGCTAAGTAACTCTTATAATACAGGTTCATTTATATAAGCATCAGTTATGATTTTGCCTTTTTATCCCCCAGTATTGGGAATTAAAGCCAGGGGTACTTTACCACTGAGTAACATCCCCAGCCCTTTTTATGTTTTATTTTGAGATGCCCAAGCTAAGTTGCCCAGACCAGTCTTGATCTTGTGATCCTACTGCCTCTGCCTCCCTTGTAAAAAATTATCCTTGAACAGTTTTAACTAGACAACTTTCACTGAAGCTCATGGATGGCCAAAAAGGAAATAAACACAGACAATATCTTGGAGCCTAATAACCTGGAGTGGGGAGGGTATCCCTATCCTTTTGGCTTTTGGCTGTCTGTTATGTGGCCAAGGTGGTCCTTCCAAGATTAAGCAGGTATGACTCAGTTTCCCCTCAAATCCAAATGTAAGAGGGCAAGGTTTACAGAGCATTAAAAAATCACTTTTCCAATCTGAGGCTCACTTCTAAGTTCAGTTTCCTGTCTGAGGACCTGCCTCTCCCTGTGAATGTCACCGGGATGGCCCATGGCCCTTGTGGAAAGAGTCCTGAGAGTACTGTACTCCCTGGTGACCTCCCCTGGAACACCTCAGAGGACAGCCAGCCTGACAGCCTCAACAGACAGTTATACATACAAGTGAACAAGGTAACAACTTTATAGTATTTAGAATAGTGACTATGTAAATGCCATGTGCTAAATAAAGACAGAAAGACACAGACGCATATGCATGTGTCTTGGTTACTTTTCTCTCATTGCTAAGACAACATACCTGGCACCCAGAATTAAAGGGAGAAAAGGTTTATTTAGCTCACAGTTTGTGGAGGTTTCAGTCCATACTCGGCTGGCTCCAAGGTAGAGTGGCACATGGCAGAGGGCAACAGTTCATGGAGGTGGTAAAACAGCAAAAGCAACAAGAGCAAAAAGGGGAGGAGTGGCAGCAAGCAGACTCTTCCCTCCCTTACATGATATGCAAACTACCCACCCCTGGGCAGGTGTAGTACTCACACCCATCATTCCAGCACTGGACCATGGATCAATCAGAAACTCTAGAACCCATGACTGCACGAGGCTTTGGGGGAACATCCAGACACAAACCATAACAGCATGTGTGTGCGCACTGCTGTATATCCTTCTAACAAAATCACCTGAGCTAAGTGAGGTTGTGCACGCCTGTAATCCCAGCACTGGAGAAGAGGGCTGAGGCAGGAGGATTGCCACAAGTTTGAGGCCAGCCTGATCTGTACAGTGAGTTTAAGGGCAGCCTGAACTATTACTTATAAGGAGACTCTGTCTCACTCTCACCCATCCAAATCATCTGACAGATGTGGTGGTACATGCCTATAATTCCAATAGACTGGAAGGCTGAAGCAGGAAGATTGCAAGGTTAGCTCAGCCTAAGCTGTTTAGCAACTTAATGAGACCCTGTCTCAGGGGAAAAAAAAATCACCAAACACGGCTGACTTCTGCTAATAGTGTTTTGTTTTCCTGGGGCCACAGAGTGGGAGTGTGACTCTGCAGGTCATCAAAGAGGCTGGCTTTCCCAGGTGTCTGCACAGGGACCATCCCACATAGAACTTGAATTCTCAGTGGATAACCGTCCTGTGTGACCTAGATATCCTAACAAGATGGCCAAATAAATAACAATTACAACTCATAAAACAAAATGCATCAAAACCCCACAATCTAAAGAAACACCAGGGACTTTGTTTTCACTGGGTGGCATGGAGACGTGGGCTGTATGAGATCTCTGGTCTGGGTACGACGTCAGCAAAGGCAAGGAGAGGGCGCAGAATCAAGCGGCCACGTTTAGAACAGCTATTTACACCACAAGGAGCAGGGGTGGTGTCTTGAACATGTGCTTGGCCCTCCTGGGGGTTTGACAGAACACAAGCTTGGCACAGAACAGACAGGAAATTAATTACATGACTTTGCAGGCTCATTGGGCTGCACTGTATTTATTTAGCCCAAGAATAAGGAGGCTCTAAAAAGTCAGTATTTTCACTACTTTTCCCTGTTTCTTTCAGATTTAAGAAAACATACCAGTAAGAACACTCCTGCAAATAGCAGTGAAGATGTACCTTGCTTTCACTTTCGTTGGACAGAATTTCCAGGGCTTCCAGGTGGGACAAACCTTGGTATTCATCAAACAGCATCCCGTAGTGCGGAGTTCTCTCCACTGTGAGCTGCTGTGCCAGTCTCTGCTTCTCCTTCTCCTTGGCTTCCCTTAACATCTGCAGAAACACACAGTGTTGTGTACCAGATGTATGTGTAGAGCTCTGCTCCTGTGTGAGGTGCGGGGAGAAGGGCTGCAGAGGGCTGAGTTTGTAACTGGGGAAGATAGCTTTGGGCCACTTTAGAGTTTCCAAAACGTTATTTTTTGATTGATATCATCGATACTTTTTACATAATATTCCATTTTGAATTTTGTCCTTTCATTATGTGGAAAACAAATATAAGCAAAGCTTCTATGTCCAGGAATAAGAGATTGGAAAGAAGCATACCAAAAGCTTCATCATGGTTTCCACTCAAGTGTTTCCCACACATGATCAATTTTCTTATTTTCTAAGGTGTCCACATTTTCTATAATGAGCAAGTTTTAAGCAATCTTGGTATTTTTTTTTTTTTTTTTTGGTTTTTCTCTGGTACCAGGAACCGAACTCACGACCTTGCGCTTGCCAGGCAGGCGCTTTTGCCGCTGAGCTAAATCCCCAGCCCAATCTTGGTATTTTAGTTACTTTGTCCCTTTGCTGAGACAAAATACCCAACGTCCAAAGTGAAAGGGGGAAAGGTTCATTTAGCTCACAGTTTACAGAGGTTTTAGTCCTTAATCAGTTGACTCCAAGCCAAGGGGGCTTGGCAGGCAGGCATTGCAGAGGAGAAACAGTTCATGGTGGGTGGAAGGTAGCAAAGCAAGCAAGGGACAAAACAAGCCTCTTTCTGTCCCTTATATTGTATCCAGGCTACCAGGATTAGGGCAGTGCCAAACCAATCAGTGGACCAATTTAGTAATCACCCACCCTTAATCCTAGCATTGCACCATGAATCAATCACACACTCTAGATCCAGCCACCTCTGAAAAAGCCCTACCTATGACTGCATGAGGCTTTGGGGTGACATCTAGACACAAACCATAACACTTGGGAAGTCTAATCTCTTGTGACAGGATTAAATGCAAATTCTACATCTAGGCAGACTGCCAAGCAGAAATAAGCTGGTCTGCTTTTCTGTTGCATTATCTTAAAACTTTTGTTCAATCAAAAGAATAACTTTGGCTTGCTTTTTCTGTCTTTTAACCACCATGAACTCTTTCTCCTCTGTGATGCCCCTTGGCCATGCCACCCTGCCTTGGAGCCAGCCAATTATGGACTGACATCTCTACAAACTGTGAGCCACAATAAATCTTTCCTCTTTTGACAAAAAAAGAGAAAAGAATAAAAACTCATAATGCATTTATCACCACATACTGAATAGAAATAAGCTAACAGATGCTCAGACAGGTCTCCAGAAGCATGGCTGAACTTAATTCCTGTTCACATTAGTGTTTCTCCAGTTATTATTTTGCCGTTTAAATAAAGACAACAAAGTGAACACAAGTCTCTCACGCAGTCCTAATTTTCTGTGCTTGCCTTCTTTGAGTCTAAGTATCTTGATTTCTCAGTAAGTTTACTGGGGCATTAAGTTTATAGCATCCTTTAATACCTGTGGTGAGCCCTGTAAATACTCTGGCCAACACCACAAGGACACAGGGAAGATCATTCAAGAATAGAGCCTGGTGTTTATCATGTGCCAAGAAAACAATCAGCCTCCTTTTGGGTTTTTGAGGTTGTTAGCCAAAAACCCACTGTGCTGCAGGAAGATTTCTCTCTCTTGTCTATCTTTAGGACTAAATTAGTATAGCTCTGAATTTTAGTTTCCAAACAACCTAGTGAAACCATCTTTGGGAAGTTTTAACACTTGCAATAAAACTCAACTACCTACACTGATCTCAGGGTTTGCTAGTGGGAACATAAAAAAGCAAAATAACTCTGGGATTGCTTCCTTTCTACACCAACTTGCATCTCTAAATTTGTACTGTGGGACAGAGGAAAGAAGAGATGAAATGGAAAGTAAAGAGGAAACATCACTCCAGAGTGATTAGGATTCACTCAAAAAGTGGGGAGAGGAACCAGAAGATGCTGGTTCTGTTTTCCCTCTGGAAAACAAATGGAGATGGACTTAAATAGTAGGGAGGAATTCTTGCATGGAAAAATTCCTCCCACAGGGAAGTCATGGAGGTTTAAATCAGTGGAATCCAGGAGCCATGCAGTCCCTATGTTACTTAGAACACATTCCCTGCAGTGCTGGGATAGATTATGTCACAAATTCAGATAGTGCATGTATGAACATTTCAGGTTTCTATAGTCATATGTTTCTGCTATACTTTGGAGCTGTAGTGTCCTCCAAAGGCTCATGAGTTAAAGGTTTGGTCCCCAACCTGTGGTGCTACTGGAAGTGGTGGAACTTTAGGAGGCGGGGCCCAGTAGGAGGCAGTGAGGTCACTAGGGCGTGGCCTTGAAGGAGATATTGGGACCCAAGGCCCTTTCTCTCTCTCTCTGCTTCTTGGCTGCATGAGGTGACCAGCATTCACAGCATGTGGCCCTTGCAATGAGGCACTGCCCAAAGCAATGGAACCAGCTACCTGTGGATGGAAACCTCTGAAACCATAAGCCAATGTAAACCTTTCCCCTATTTATTTATTTAGCAGTACTAGGGCCTTTGCACTGAGCTATATCCCCAATCCTTTTTTATTTTCTGTATTTGAGATAGGGTCTTGCCCAGGGTGGGCTCAACTTGTGATCTCCTTTCCTCCTTTTAAGTTGTTTATCTCAGGTATTTTGTCACAGTGTCAGAAAGTGGACTAACACAGTTTCTGTAGTGTGTAAAGGAAAAATACTGCAGATTTCCCTATCTTGGGTGATGGCAACTTCACCCTTCCAGTTGCTCCAAAGACCCTGTAGCCATCCCTGACACACCTTTTATCTCACAGCCCACACTTACTCCATCAGAAAATAGGGATCTCTTTTAAAATGATACCCAGGATCATTCATCACCACCTACACAGCCTCCATACTGTTCTGAGCGCCTGCATCTATTGTCTTGGTTACACCAATTGCTCCTTGCACGGTGTGTGTGAGTGAGCCCTGTGTATGGACCTCCTTCTCCAGAGAGTATAAGGATCAAGGGTTCCAGCTGCTGGGCTTGGAAATCCAGCCCTTGGCTTCCCAGGCACTTCTCTGCAAGCCACTCAGCACCTGGGCAACGAGGCTGACCTGTTCCTGGGAGCCTGGGAGCTCCATCACCAGCAGATTCTTTTGAAAAAAAAAAAAAAAAAAAAAGAATATATAATAGTTGTACAGATTTACCAGGCACAACGTAATATGTTGATACATGTGTGGAAGTATAGAGATCAAATCAGGGTCACTAGCATAACTATCACCTCAAATATGTTTTGTTTCTTTGTGTTAGGGACCTGGGAACTCCCCTCTCCTAGCTCTTTGTAAAATCTGTATGTTGTGGTAAACTGAGGTGCCCTCACTGTCGTCAGCAGACTTTGCGTGAAGGACCGTACCACGGCCTTGCCCAGCCTTCCTTAGGCGGCATGTCACCTGGACACTCCCGCCTCTCTTCTCCTTCTCTTCCTTCACTGGGGTAAGACCCGCATCTTGGTCTAATGGTTCTCCCAGTCTTCCTGAGTCCCTGCTCGCTTTCTTGCACACAGGGGCCTTCCCTAGTAGCATCCTTGCGTATTTCAGCCCATCTTGACATCTGTTTCTGGAACTAGGGTGACACATCCTCTAATGGTCCTCTAATGGTCTCACTGCCCTCATCTCCCCTTCTCCACAGTCTATTTTCAACACAATAATTACAGTGATCTTTTTAAAGCATAAGTGAGTTCTGGTCATTCCTCTTCTGCAAATGCTGCAACAGTTGACCTCTTCTGTAGCACTCGAGGTCCTTCACAAACGCCCTCCACGATCTGCCGTGTCCTGTGCCCATCACCAACCTGGCCCCACCCTCAACGCTGCTTTCACATCCTGTGATAGCCTTGCAGATTCCTTGTTTCTACCAGAAGCTCCTGACTCACGGCCTTTGCTTGAGCTTCTCCCTCTGCCTGGAATGTGTTTCAGCCAGGCGTCTGCACAGTCAGCGCTGTCTTCTCCTTCATGTCTTTGCTCAGTGTCATTGTCTCCCTGAGTGTCCCATCATGTCTCTTTTGTCCCCTCACCGGCACAGTCACTGTTTACCTCGTTCCTGCCTCCCACCTTCTTCCTCCTCTGCAGCACTCATCATCTTCTAAAATACCAGTTAAGTTTTATTATCTGTTTGTCTCCCCCAGAAGAAAAGCTCCTGAAACATACAGATCATTATTCATTTTGGCAACTGAGAAACGGTGCTTGGCACAGTATCGACACTAAAATGCATTTGTGAAATGAGTGAGTAAATGAAGAATGAATAAAAATTTACTGCCTGGGAAGAGGCAAAGTCAGTGATGTTCCTGTACAGTCAGGAGCACTGTGGTGACCCACTGAGCTGCTCGGTGTGCTCCAGGGTGTCCTGTGCCACGCCCGCCACAATGGCTCCGATGTGAGCAAACGCTCCAGGGTACTCCTGAGGTTCCTTAGTGACACACTTCTCTGAGCAGTGTACCTTTCCACAGCAGGCCGAATGCAGGTGTGATTACAAATTGTCAAGGCAGCATAAAAATTATGATAACCTAGAAAACTAACCCGGCCCAATTCTTCATCTTACAGGCAAAAAGCCATGGTTACCCTGTTTGTAGACTCAGTCCCATTTTCTTTTACATCATCACTGTCTTAACTGAAATAAAACGTATATATCCTTCTGAATAAATGTATACACATATAAGTGTTTGAATCAGGTTCTAGTCTAAGAAACCCACTGAAGGCCATGCAATTAATAAGTGGTAGAGCTGGAATACATACAACGGCATAAATAAGATAATCCTCAAGCAATTATTAAATGAATGAAGCAAAATGCAAAACAATGTGATGAGTATGTTATCATTTGGTTGAAATACTATGATATCTGTCATTGCTTGTGTTTAGACGTCCTCTCAAAGCCTCATGCAGTCATAGGTGGAGCTTTTTCAGAGGTGTCTGGATCTGGAGTGTGTGATGCTGGAACTGACTCATGGTGCAGTGCTAGGATCAAGGGCACTAGGATTAAGGGTGTGAGCGCTACTCTCCCTAAGTAGTCTGGATAAGATATAAGGGATAGAAAGAGCTGTGGTCACTCCTTATTGCTTTGCTACCTTCTGCCTGCCATGAACTGTTTCTCCTCTGCAATATTGCTCTGCCATGGCACCCTGGCTTGGACTCAGCTGATTATGGACTAAAACCTCTACAAACTGTGTGCTAAGTCAACCTCTCCTTCTTTAAGTTTGTCAGGTATTTTCTCAGCAATGAGCAAAGTAACTAAGATAATATCTGTACATTCATGTACATAAGCATGTTTATGCACAGTTGCACTTATATTTAGTTGTATGAGAACTGCCAGCACATGTAAGAGATTCTTAATAGTGGCTGTCTCCCTTGAGGAATGAAGAAGCTGGGGAAATGGGTGTGTCAGAAACTCAATTTTCACTTTCTACTCTTTTTATGCCATTTGAATTTGAACATGTACTTTAAGTGACCGATTAAAAAGTGAAATAAAAATCTATTTGCTTTCTTGACTGAAAGAAGAAAAATGTAGAAGTATATAATCCAACCTGGGACAAGGAAACGGTTCTCTCCATGAGAGTCTTAGTCCGCTTAAACCCAGGGTCACTTTCTGCAAGGACATTCATGGTTTTCTTGCCGATGAATTCCAAAGCATCAAGGCCTCCGGTTAGGACGCTTTTGCCCTGCAGATGAGAGAATTGCATGCGATTAGTTTTTCTACAACTTGCCGTTTTGCAGTAGTCAGCAACTCCCAGGTAACTGGCACTATCTTCAAATATTAAAATCAATATAAAGTCAATTTTTTTCTCATCAGATTTATCATCCATTTAATCCTATTTTCTTCTCCCTGGAAAATCATATGCTATATAATTTGCGGGGTATGCAGTGTTATTAAAAAGTGATGCTTAGGAAATCTGAAGCACATTAGGAAATAATTTTATTGGGTCTGTGCAGATGATGCAGATTGTATGTAAAATATAAAATTAACAGAGACCCAATTGCTGTTTGTGTTTTTAAAAAGTTTAACCTAAGTAACAGAATTATTTGGATTAGTTTAACAAAATGTCAAACATTCCTGCCAATTTAGGAAATTCTTTAATCTAGAACCATGGAGTATGGGACCCTCAGGATATTTTAGATGGCTCTTATATGTTTTTAGAAATGTCCAAGAGCCACCAATAATTAATATATTAATGGAATAAGACAGGTTGATTTCCATGTTCTGTTACACAGTTATCACTCTGAAAATCCCATTGTCAAGCGCTGCTTTTTTTTAAAAAAACTAAAACAACTAAGAGTTATATAATCTGTTTAAGGGCATGGAACTGGATACATTTCTTTGAAACCACCTCTATACATAGGCCTCAACTGTGTCACTGTAATTACAATATGCACTATTCTGTATTATTCCCCAACTTATATGAAAATTATATATTTTATTTTTATTTTATTATTTGCATACATTTTCTAATCTTCATAATTACCATTTAAATAGCAACATTCAACTGTACTGATTTAATATATTTGATCGATTATTTCCATCTTGGACATTTAGACATCTTCTCAGATGTGTGAGCCAATCAATAATCATGCTATGAAACAGATTTAAAAATGCACAGCTGGGTGTGGTTATGCATTCATGCAATCCCAGCATTCTGGAAGGCTAAAGCAGGTCAGTTACACGTTCAAGCCCACAGTTGGCAATTTAGTGATGTAAGGACCTTATCTCAAAATACAAAATTAAAAAAAAAATAAAGAAAAGATTGGGGATGTAGGTCAGTGCAAAGGCCCTGGGTTCGGTCCCCAGTATGGCGGGGAAGGAGGCAGATATTTATCAGTTAAAGAAAATAAACCTCGCTGGTAATGTGGCTAAGCTGCAGAACACTTGCCTAGCACCTGCGTGCAAGCCCCTGAGTTTGATCTCCAGCGCCACAAAACAAAGAAACTCAATTTAAATTAAAATAAATAACAAAAAAAGAATCCGGGACCTGAGGGGTTAATTTCAGCATGATTCCAGGCAGAGAGGGAGAACTGGAACACAGGAATGGGGAAGGAATGTGGGCCTTAGTTATCTGGAAATGCTTCAGAAACATATTGGGCTGTTACCCCTGACTCTTTACTGGTCTTTTTTTATTTGAACGGTTTAATTTATTTTTTTAACTGAGGGTTAGACAGATAAACCATCCAGATAAATCATCCAGAAAAAACAGCTGTCCCAGCTCTTCCAGAGAGTATTGTCTCCCCCAAACAGAAACTGTCCTTGTAGCAGTTGGAAAGGACAGTGTTAAATCAGGTTGAAAAATGTACTTTCTAAACAGCCCCTTTCTTTTCAACACAAACTATTTCATGTTGCCCTTGTTATTTTGGATCCAAGGTTATACCTACTCTGCCGCAGAAAGTGTAACAAAACCCTAATCCGAAGTTGTGAGCAAGGCCGTCTTTCCTCTGATGTATCTAGGTCACTGGCAAACAGAGACATCAAAAGGAGGGAGACACAAGGGAAAACAGGAAGCAGCTTCCGACTCACAGTGTTCTGAACCACATTGGTGAGGGCGGAGAGCATGCCCCGAGAGCCAGAGCCTGGCGGAGGAGAGGTGGGGGTGCTTCCTGCCGGGGCTTGATCTGTAGCCGCATCTGCAGTGTGAAAAAAGATCCTGTTAGAGTTCATGTCGCTGATGTGAATTTAGGAACCAACTAAATGTGCACACAGGGCAACGACGCCAAGAACGCCCACGGTCAACGCCGCACTCACTTTCAGGGACTCCGTTTTCAGCATCAGGTTGGGCCCCTTCGGAAGATCCGGAATTTCCACTGTGAATCCGTAGGGTGGCCCCGGCCTTTTCCTTGACTGCTGTCAATCCATGACCTGTCAGAAACCCATACAGGGTTCATATACATTAGAAAGCCTGGGCCGGACGTGGGTGGAGCTCCGTGGTACAGTGCTTGCCTAGCCCCGCCAAGGCCCTGGATAGATTATTACAACAACAAAGAAGAAAAGATAAAGATCCACATCCTGCAAATTCTCTGGCTAATCTTACAAGGCTACTTGATGTTGTAAATGTTCATCTTGATTTTGACTGAATGAAAGTAGTTAAAACAGAGACTTTGGGTGGCTGAGTGGACCCGAGAAGTTACCTTGTCTCTCCATGAATATTTTCTCCTTGGGTTTCTGTGAGGAGCAAATAAGATAAATACAGAGGTAATAGGAAGACAAGGTGAATGCTTAAATATAAAAGGCTTATTACGGTAAAAGACACATGGCCAAGAATGATGGGATGAGTGTGTTCCAAGTGAGAGGGAGTATTTTGGGAAGAATTAATGGCAATGTGTCTTTCACTGTAATACATTTAAAAAGACACCCAGTGGTTTTTTTTTTTTTTATTATTTTAAAGAGAATTTTTAAAAAAATGAAAATGTTACAGAATTTCAAAACAAGATGGTAGCAAATTAACACTGGTTATTTTATTGCATATTACTATCTTCAAAGTAGTTGCTCAGATTACCAGATATAGGCATGCAAAATGGATCAAACAATATAAACACTAATGCTTCCTCTCAATGAACTAAGAGAAATTAATAGTACAATTACCTTAGCTATCTTGTGTGTTTGTGTATGTATATATATATATATGTATGTATTCCTTCTTTTCTCCTTTCCCCATCCCAGCTGTTCCTTCCTTTTGAGCAGTTTCTTTCCCTTTCACTATATCTATTGTACCTTTTGCATCTTATTTACCTCATATATAGAGTTTCCAGATGTTTTATTGTTCTCTTTTGTGTCTCACAGTGTCTGCCTCTTAACCCAGCGTCCCAACTCAGGACAGCATCTTGGAACAGTGTGCTTGTCTTACCCTCTTGACTCTCTTAGCGCCTTATAGCGGAATAGTCTCTGTTTTGGGCTCCTTGAAGGCCTAGCACATTGTACATTCTCAATTAATGCTGGCTGAACTGAAATCAGCTGGGCCCAATGTGCTGCTTCTACATGTCACTCAGTCCAAAGGGTCTGAGCTCACATTTCCACATGGAAAGGCAAGTTAGTGAAAACCTGAAAGGCCACCAACAGCTAACAATTGTCTTGGGGCAGTAATGGTCCGAGTCAGGCTGAGGGAGCAGGTTTTACTTCATCCACGCAGGGCAATACCTGTGTGCCCCGAGCCCAGCACAGTGAGGATCCCACACCTGTGGGTGAATGCAGAGTGGACCTTTCCACTCACACTGAACGAAATCCAGTGCTTGACTTGAAAGAGCAATTGTCGTGTATTTTGTTCTGGAGATCTCCCCCCACCAGGTCCCCAGATGGGCCGGACCCTTTCTGAGTCTCAACCCCACTGATGGAGGAATGAACAGCCTCCGCCTGGTCACAGCGGCTGTGTGACCTCTGAAAGGGACACAGTGTGGCAGGCTGCAAAACGGTGCTCCTCACCTCACCTCACACACAGGCACAAAACGGGATTTCTCCAGGGGCCTCAGGTTGCTAAGCACAAGGCCGCAGCAATGATAATATGTGGGGGGCAAGTCCCAGGTCACAGCAGGACCCAGGGGTTTAATAAAGTCACATAGAATCAGAATGAGCTTGAACTGACCAGTTGCCTATGTCCTAAATAAGATAAAGATATGGATGAATCCAATTCAGGGTAATATTTCAATGGTAACCTTACTTATTAGAGAAATCTTAATACAAACAAAGCACTGCTACTAATTATATCCAGTGAAAATTACCTATCACCATACATTTCCTAGAAACCTGTGAAACTTAAGAAGCATTATTTACAACTTTAATTACAAGTATAAATATGTTTATACTCATATGCAGGTCATTAGACGCAGTTCAAACTCGTGGCTGAGTCCTTTGGAAAAAGTAAATGGCTAAACCTAAGACATGAATGAATTCTCTCTGGCTTCCAATGAATTCCAAGCATTTTTGTGAAAACTTACTGAAGTTTCAGCCACACATTTAAGTTATAGGACACGATCATCTCATGCATGTACATACTGAATTCACATTCCTTAACATTTTAAGAAAGCACGTGTATTTTCAGAAGGGAGAATGTACGTCCAAATCTCAACCCACGATTCTCATGGAGATTCCTGAGAGCCACGACCAAGGAATAAATGAGTCTGAGAAGCCGGGGAGGCACCATCTGCTTAAGCCATCAGCAAGGTGACTGCAGCTCCCTCCTCGAGACCATGTCAGAGTTTAATTAACCTCGCTGTCATTATCTCCTCTTTCACCTTCTCCACCCCTGGCAACTGCGGGTGTTGTTGTCCTATAGGGGAGGAGGGTTTCTCTGCAGGAGGAGCAGCTTCTCACCATCTCAGAACACAAGTGGTCACGAGCATCTGTGCATAAGCTGCTCCCAGAACAATCACTGTGTTCACAAAAGGGAATACTACTTTTATGTGCATGTAAGGAAAGTGCGTCTATTTAACAGACATGAAAATAGGCTGCTACTACAACTCTATTTGTCAATTAAGACTTATTTTTTAAAATGCTTTTGTTAGTAAAGGTACATCTTTATTGCCTTCTAGTAGAAATATTGTTAAGCTTTATCAGAGCTAAGGTTTGGATGCTAATGCCACACCCTACTCTGAGGAGTAACTTCTAAAACTTTACTGAGTGTGACATCTAGTGCCCAGAACAAGGAAATTGTAATATAGAGTCATGCTAATTTTTGACAGGAAGTGATTCATTTCCAGGGAAACTGACCGGACCCTACTAGTAGGAGAAAAAGAATAAATATGAGTAATACTCTTGGGAATAGTTCATGAAGCTTCTTCACGTTCACAAACGTTAAGCCTCCTCAGAAAATGAAACTCTTAATTTCATGCACTAAAAATGGAATATCCTCTCTTTTTCTTATTGCAGTGAAACATGAGTACTGCACAGAAGTGCAATAAGAATGTTGTATAAAGACTGTGAGACTATAGCATTTTAAAACAAATGTTAAATGATTGGCTGGTGTTTCATTTGTCGCCTGTACTCTAATGGAAAATGACTTAAACTTAGGAGTCTTGAGTCTTGTGGAGGAATTCCGGTTACAGTGTTCACTAGCTATGTAGTGTTGGTGAGCCAGGTAACCTCTCTGAGTCTGCGTGGCTGCACCTTTTCTGAAAGGTTAACATCTGCTCTCCAGAGGTTCACAAGTGAAACCTTAGCTACAGACTTATTGAGTACTTACTATGTCCCAGAAAATGCACTAAATATTTTCAGTGTAGATTATCTTATTTAATGTTCTGAACCTTATGAAGTAAGGGATATTATTATTTATACCCATCCCACAACTGGGAAAACTGAGACCCATTGAGGTGGGTCCTACTAAAGGTCCTACAACCAGTAGGTGACAGAGTCAGGATTCTGGCTCAGTTCTCACGTACAATCACCATGTTATACTGAGAAAGTTTTATATGTCATTAAAGTCTTGTTTCCATAATGTCTTAGAAATCAGATCCTTGGTCAGGGTGTCCTTGTTTTTAAAACATTGTTTTATTCTAAAATGAGTTCAACTTTCCTTACCTTGGCCATAGAGAAAGGTGAAGGTCACCTACTGTGAAACCTTATGCTGGCCCTGCCCCTCCCAAGCCTGCCTTGGAGGACACAGCTTGATGTCTCAGGATCACCCGTGTTGTGCTGGCTGTGTAGTGTGATCTTATGCATCAGTTCAGTTTCTATTTGGAAAAGGCACTATTTCTTCACTAAGCTCTCATCTTGTGAACTCTACCAAGATCAGAGACCTTTGAAGGGAAAGAGGAAAGAATCTGCTGGTGATAGGAGCTTCTCTAACCCAGAGGTAAGCAGGGAGCGAAAACAGTTCTTCAGAGCAACTTAGATGGCTGGATTGCTCCACGGGTATTTCCTACTGGGCTCATTTGCTAATGGACTCCCAAGAAGGGTATCAGCTAACGCATTAGGAGAGTTCTGCCTTTCAGATTGCTTTATTTTTAAGACAAGATTTACTTTTCTTTTTTAAAAAGTGGATATTTAAATGGATCTTTATTTTTTTTAAAGTGGCTATTTAAACAAGCAAACAACCCCCCCCCCCATAATATCATTTCCCTGACATATCTGTTTGGATTCTTCTCCCACTTTTTTGTGGTAAAATGTACAAAGCAACAATTGTACCACCTTAACTGTTCTTGAGCATACAGTTCAGTGGTTCCAAATACATTCATAAAGTCTGATGGCTATCACCATCCATCTTCGGAATTCCATTGCATCTTGTAAAATTGAAAGTCTATGCCCATTAATAATTCCCCATTCCCTCCTCCTACCAGCCCCCGGCAACCGCCATTCTACTTTGTGTCTTTCTGACTGTGTGAGGTCCATCCAGAATCACAGACACACAAATACTGTTAGGTTCTGCTCGTACCTCATACAGTATTTGTCTTTTTGTGACTGGTTTATTTTACTTACCATAATGTCTTCAAGGTTCATCCATATTTAGCATATGCCAGCCAGAATTTCCTTCCTTTTAAGGTTTATCAATATTCAACACCACATTTTGTGTATACATTCATCTGTTGGTGGGTGTTGGAGTTGCTTCCATGTTTCAGCTATTGTGAATAGTGGTGCTATGAACATGGGTGTAGCAAACACCTGTTGAAGATATTACTTGCAATTTTGGGGTTGTACATCTACGAGTGGAACTGCAGGGTTATAGAGTTATTCTATTTTTAAGTTTTCAAGGAACTCCCACACTGTTTTCTACAATGGATACAACATTTTACATTCTCACCAGCAGCACATGTGGGTTCCAATTACCAACATCCTCACCAACACTTATTTTTGTTTTTTTTTTAAATAACAGTCCTGGTGGGAGGTGGCATCTCATGGTGGGTCTGATTTGCTATTCTCTGATGATTAGTGAG